ATTAAATATTTATAGACGTAAAAATTTTGAAAGTTTTAGTTAAATATAGCTTATCTTTGCAAGTAGAAAAGTCCCACCAGTATCAAAGGTTAAGCAGGTCGACCATTGTTGCTTCTACAGTTTATAAATTCAACCGCCTGATCAAATTTGGTGCAATTTAGTGGGACGAAGCAACTTGCATGGATTCTTACAAGAAAATGCCCACATTTTAGTTTTAAAACAAGGTTTTGATCCAGACAGGGTTTCATTAGGACACTAGTGTCATCATAACAGGATAAAATGGAGAAAAGAAATAGAAGATAAATATAATTCTATTTTATTTCTTCCTTTCCAAGAACAACCATATTCCCAAGTAGATTATAGTCAACAGTTTTAGCTCTTAGAAATGTTATCTCAGCCCATGTTTGTAACATTAATCTACTTGTAGTAATGTTAAAAAATACAAAAGAAAGTAAACGAGAGTTGCATACGGTAGTGAATTAAGCATTTTTGGTTTACATAACAGGAGTAAAAGCATATTCTATCCAATTTTGCTTCTTCTCCTTGAATCAAGATTCAATAAAGTTTATTTTCAGAATAGAAACTAGAAATCATAACTTTCTGCAGGGATCTCGGACATAACAAGGGGAGAAGAAGATAATAGAAACATGAAATAATCATATTGTTTAAATGCCATAAGGGGAAGAAAGGGGGTGGGATGTCGATGTTAACAATTAATATGAAATTTCCCGCTACATGTTCTACTCAGATCACACATTAACGAGGCAAACATCTTATTTTTTTAAAAATCGCTAAGGTTCTTTCAACTGTTTTCTCCCAATTCTGCTACCATCTTATTTTCTCTTGCACAATGGCCAGTTTGTGTGTTCTTTAGAACTTAAGCCTCTTTTCCTCAATGAAATTAGAAATTCAAAAGACGGAAAAAAAATAATAAAAAAGTAAAACCTCTAATATACTCAGCACATACAAGTGGAGACTGTGGAGTACACAATGAAATTCCATACCAGTTCCAGCTACGCATTTTTTTTTAATAGACTACCCATCACCACTGAGCAGGGATGAACAATGAATCAGGGCTTTCCAAAAAATTTCTTCTTTCTTTTATGACTTTTGGCTAAAACCTCAAAGTTAATTTTCAGCAATCACAAACGAAAAGAACAAAGAACATAAACAGAGACTTACCAAAGAACACTCCAACTTGAAATCTTTAATACAATCAATGAATCGAGAAAAAAACCCAAATCAGACTTTCATAGAGAAGCGAAAAAGTGATAGTTAGAGTTCCCTCCTTTTCTTACTAGCACGGTTAATATACAACTAGACAGACAGACGGTAAAACATGAGAAATGCCAAAAAAAATAAATAAATAAAAACAAAAAGCAAAGAGGAAAACAAATACCTGGAGATTGTGGAGCTTGATATATTCCCAGATTTTCTTAACAGCACCTGCACGAGAAATTTCCGGGGCACCCACTAAGCTTTGGAGTGCTGGAGACACCGGAGTTGACTTCAGAATCCCGGCAGTGGGAGACGGCGGCGGCTTCTTCTTTGTACTGGTGCTGGGATTTTTCTTGGAGGTGGAAACGGCGGGATTGGGAGCGGCGGCGGCAGAGGATTTGGAAGGGTAAAACAAGGCCCGGCATCCTCGGAAAAACCTAGATGGAGTCGACATTGGATTCTTGTGCGTTTTGGAGGTTGTTGGGAAATTAATGAATTGAATCGCCCCTTTCGTACACTCTCCCCGGTGCTGCCAATTTATATTAGAAAAATTGCAACGTTGGTTCATATATTTAGCTCATGTTGTAAACGGAGTTCGAAATTTTTAACTTTGTTCCAATTTAGTCCTCACGATGTAGGTTCTTTCTACCTATTTGATCAATTAAATTTTTTTTTTTTTTTCCAAATTGTCAACGAACTTCTATGTTTCGTATGTATTTTTCGTTGATTTCTAAATAGTTCATATGTCTATAAGCATTACACTTTCATAGTGACTAACACTCAAATCTATTACTCTAATGGATGGACCACGAGTCAATTTTGAATTAATTGTGATATGACATTAAGTGAAAAGATGATCACCTTCAAGTAAAGGAATGCTACCCTTCTATTTCGTGGATAAAGAGTGACCAAAAAATGAGAAGATACATCTTATGCTTTATGTATCAATTATGCTATGCTTAAAATAGTCATATGCAATCTCTAAAAACGCAGTTGATGGAAAGTCACAATATAGAGTTGTTCTAGGAATGTGTGTCATGTATTACACACGCAAAAAATAATAATAATAAACAAAAAATCAACTTAAGAAAGTGAAAAATATATTTGTATAACATACTTGTTATATTATTATGTTTTATATGACAAAGAAAGAAAAATATTATGCTTTAAAACTAAAATTTGAATTACTCAATTTCGAAATATTGCAATTTGGTTTTGTATTAAATAACCGAAAAAGAAAGGAATGACACGACAACAACAGAGAGTGGCGAAAGGGTGGGAGGACGACTTGAAGAAGAAGAATTTAAAAAACTCTTGATGGTATTGGGCCCTTATAAGAAAAGTTCACAAATGAACCTAGTTAAGGAAAAATAAAGGCAATTTGTCATAAGATTTTTCCTAGATTTCACTAAGGTAATTAAATTCGCTACACATTTTTATCATTGATACTATATTTTAATTGAGGTTAAGATTCTTAATTATTATTTATATATAATACTTATATCTGTAACTTTTTCTTCTACATCTTTTAAACCTCTTCAATAACGATTTTGTCTAAAAAATTGCAACAAAATAATTTTCTCCCATATTTCAAAGCACGTAAATAAGATTAATGTAAAGTGGAATGTAAGAATTTGATTAAAAAAATTTAAGAACATCAGCTTCGAATAATCAGAGATTGAGGACCTTAAATACAATTAAAATATGTTATAATAAAAAAATATGATATGAATATAATTACCATTTCACACAAATAGATGAATCCGTTTAAAAAGAGGCTCGTTTACCCTTATACTAATGAAAAAGATAAATAACGGTAGCTTAAGGGGTGTTGTAACACCATTAATGTTAGATAGCATTACTAAATAACTCCACCTTTCCAACTTTCTTGAACTAGTCTCGTGACAATTAAAAATCTCAAAACACCGTTCAATATATTATGCACTCCACCTTTCCAACTTTCTTGAACTAGTCTCGTGACAATTAAAAATCTCAAAACACCGTTCAATATATTATGCACTCCACCTTTCCAACTTTCTTGAACTAGTCTCGTGACAATTAAAAATCTCAAAACACCGTTCAATATATTATGCACTCCACCTTTCCAACTTTCTTGAACTAGTCTCGTGACAATTAAAAATCTCAAAACACCGTTCAATATATTATGCACTCCCTTGTTCCAGCTGCTCAAATCCCTCCTCCCGGGCACTCTCTTCATCCACCTCCAGCCAAGATTGACCTTAAGTTTTTCAAACCTTAGTGAAACTTTAGAAGCTGCCTGTTGTGTCTACTTTCTCATCAAGGGAACAAAATAAAATAAAATAAAAAATCGATTAATCCATACCACACATAATAAAATGAGAACACAATCCATTTTGTAAGAACTTTATAAACATATAATATATGCATATAGGATTCAAAATTCAGTGATTCAAAATTCATTGTACATGCAGTTTTTGTTCTCTGTTGGGGCATATTCTACGATTAACCATTCTCACGATACTTCGGGGACGGGGAGGTGGGGAACGTTGAGGTTGGACCCCTCTTTTTTTTTTTTTTTTATTTGGAAATATCCCTTACAATTCTCATTGGAAACACCTAAGCTGAATTGCCGTAGCCTGTGGGTTGGATCCCTGCCAGATTTTTGTCAAACACAGCCTTTCAATTCTCATAGAAAACACAGTACAGAAAAATTCACCCCTTCCGAGGATCTGTTGTAACAAAGAAATAGAGTATCTACCCCGTAAGCGTAAGGACACGGTATACGCTCTACAGAAACATAGAGAAAGAATCCAAAAACAGACTTGTAGAGAGAGAATGAAAGTAGGGAAAAAGAAACTCAGTACGGAGTCCGTGCAACCTCTTCTGCCGTCACCTTCTAACCACACCGCCACCATGAATGGCGACGATGGTGAAGGAGGTGCGGCGGAGGTGCAACCAGAGGAAACTGAGCATTTTGAAGATACAGAGTGGACTTTGGAAGAAGAAAATGATGGAGATGAAGATGAAGACTCCGAGACTGAAAAGGACTACGACCACTTCGAAAACCTGCAAATCGAAGAGACTGAGGCGGGGGCTGAAGCTGAGGCCGAGCGCTTGAAGCTTGCTGATGGGTATTATGAGATCGAGGCCGTTCGCAGAAAGCGAGTCCGAAAGGTCCGTCATTTCTCCCTTTTTCATGGGTTTACAGATGATGGAAAATTCTTACTGATTAACAAACAACTCTGTTTATAAATAGAGGTCTAAAAGAAATGAAATGGAGGTTTTAGTACTGGTAGATTTAGCGAATTTCTTCCCTTTTAGCTGATTCTGTGTCTGTTTGATGATTGGGGGTTTTCTGGAATGCGAATATTGAAGGGCCAAGTGCAGTACCTCATAAAATGGTGAGTGATTTAGATACATTCTGCACATCCGTATATGAATGCATGTGTTTCGGGAATTTTGTGTTGATCAATGTAATGGATTGTTTTGGAAAGGCGAGGCTGGCCAGAGGCCGAGAATACATGGGAGCCTCTAAAGAATCTATTGCAATGTTCCGATGTTGTTGATGCTTTTGAAGAGAGGTAGATTTTATTTCTATTTCGAGATAACCTTCTATTCTCAGTTTATAATAGATAAGTGTATGGAATGATTAGGATGATATTCTATAATTCTCTAATACTTAATTATGACTTTCTTTTCATTACTTGGGATATTTTGTTTTGTTGTATTTTGAAGTTTGATAACAGGTAGAAGTAGGTCGGCACGTGGGCGAAAGCGCAAACACGGGATCACTCATGCTCAGGTGAAGAAAAAACAGCAGCAGCAACCTCTTGTAGATGTTACGTCTAATTTGCCCTCGCACAGGGTCAGGATTGTGGAGGACCCTACGTACTATCCTCAGCTGAATAACTTAAATGTTCGGAGTGGCAAAGGGAAAACTGATGTCAGCAGTGTGAATGGATTTGAGATGTGCAAGAATGTGAATGAGCATGCTGTTAAGATGGTGTCTGCTACAAGGGGAGAAAGTAATGAGCAAAATGAGTTGAATCTGAAGCTTTGTGAACTAAAGGAATCAATTATGGTTAGTGAAGAGATTGCAAATAAGTTTAGTGTACATCCTTCCCAAGAAGGCTTAGTTACAGGAGGAAATGTCTTTGCGAATGGATTGCCAAAATCTGATGGTGTCGATCCAGTTCAATCTGGCCGCTGCATTGGAGCTAAAAAGAGGAAATCTTTTCCAGTCAAGAGGTTCAAACAAGATTTAGCATTATGCAGCATGGACGATACACAAAATGCAATTTCTGCTTGTGTTATGGCAGAACAGAAAAATTTTCAAACTCGTGCTTTTATGGGGAATGATCGGGATTGCAAGAATAAATCTGACAACTCCAAAGAAATGTGCAACATCACTCAGATCATTAAGCCTATAAGCTATAGCACTTCCACAACAAGCAATGATGAAGAAGTCTCATTAACCTTTGAGGCTCTGAGGTTTGTAGCTTAACTTTTCACTTCATTTTCGCATGGTTGAATTTTATTACTGTGTGATTGTTTTATGAGCACGCCAAAATTAATTTTTTTAAAAAATGAAATCTCCTATTTTATTAGTTTTTTTTATATAAGTTGTGTGAGTGGTGTCCATGCTATTTTTATAAGCACGCCAAAGCATAATTTGATAATGAATTACTCCCCTCCCCCCCCCCCCCCCCCCTGGCC